AGTTATTTTGTATATATTTTTAAAAAAACGTTCCTAAAAATGGCCATTAGAAGCGGCCGCTGTTTAGACGTTATTCTGTACGAATTTAAGAGAGAAATGTTACTGAAAAAATGGCCGATGTTGAAAGTTGAAAATGGTCGTTATTGAAGGTTCGAATGTAATAGACTATAATAACGTTAGAAGTTTGAATAAAAATTGAAAGCATAAGAGAAAATCTTTGTTAAAGAGTTTAGATAAATTATTGAATAGAGCATTCTTTATGGTTTTTGTTCCTGTCTGTCAAATATAATAGCAAGTGGACATGATTTATTAGTTGATCAATAACGATATTTCTCTCATAATATTATGTATCCAAAAGATTATGTCGAAATAACTCTTGAAGACTGAACTTTTTTGCTGCTGAATTAATTTTGATTTTTCAGCTAAAATTTTCTTTTCATTTTGATAAAAAGTAGAAGTGTAATTTATATAATTCAATTTCGAAAAAGATTTAAAAAAAAAAAAAAACAAGAACAAAAATTGAATAACAATATTTAATTAAAATATATTAAGTTTCTACTTATTTAACTAGAAAATATATAAATTTTTAACGATCAATTATTTGATTATGACATCGTTACAATGCTGGGCTGCAATTTTTTATCATATTTTTTTAATTTATTTAATTTAAAATATATGCTATCCACCTCAAATTATTGTCTTGCCCCTGTACATCATACTTTTCCTTCTAGCAATAGAGTTGTGCCAGTCATCTATTAGCTGCTTTCATGGGAAAATTTTTGAATTTAAATATAATTTTGAATTTTAAAAGGACAGACAGACAGACAGATAGATGAATTCAAATTGCAGTTAAATTATTTTTAAATATAAATTAACAACTTTTAAATACAATGTTCATAAATTATATTAAAATAAATCATAATTGTAAGACATTTTAAAGCATTTTTGATATTTTTAAAAATTATTTTAATAAATCTAATTATATTTAAAAAGATTTATATAATGAAGTTAACAATTTTCATGTTTAATAAATTTCAACGTAATTTTTTTTTCGTATAAAAAGTTAATAGTTAAAGAAGAATTCTTATTATAAAAATAGATACTTCTAAGTCCTTCTTTAGTATTAAGTTTTTCTAGAAATTTATTTAAATAAGTTTATATGTAACTTATTTTTATCTCCAGACCGAAAACTTTTATTAAATTAAATCTCATTNTTTTCCATAAAATCGTATAAGTTTTTTGGAATATTTTGTAAAAATATTTTACTCAAATTTCTGATAATCCTATATATAAATTTTATTTACTACAATAATATTTAATATTTAAAAATAATTTATAAATTAAATATTTTTACAATTTAATTTATATTTTTCTATACGTTTTAATTACAATTTTATTTAAAATTGTTAATTGTTAAAAATGAAAATTATTCATGAATAATGATTAAATATTTTATAAAAATTTAAGAAATTTTTAACTCTGAAATTACATAAATTTATAAGCAATTTTTTAATACATTTATTATATTTTAACGCGAATTTTATGCACCATATAAACTTTATATTTTTAAATTACTACAATTTAATTTATATTCTTTATTAATTAACATAATTTTCTTTTAAATTAATAATAATTAATTAATTTAAATATTCTTTAAATCTCAAAAATGATTATACATTTACAGAAAATTGTTTTTATTTTAGGATCATTTTTCTTTATAGATTTTAACTTTAAACTTTATATTTACCATAATGCTATTATCTAAGAATATAAATTCTCTTTACATGTATTGTTTTTAAAAGAAATTTTTTCATTTTTTTCCTTAACTAGGTTACATAACGTAACACAGAGTAAATTGTACAATAAGATGCTTAGTTTAAGAAAATCCCGAAGACACAAATATCTACGTGACTTGTACATTAAATATCAAAATACTTCTATTTATGGTTTGCCTGAGACTTTCTAGGAATTTATAAAAGGTTTTTGAAAGTTACTACTCTTAAGACGTGAGTGGTGTATCAATTAAACAACTTCATCAAAATTTTATAAATTATCAAGAGCGATTTTGATTAATTACTTTAAAATAATTACTTTTCTTACAATCTATATTCATTTTTCACGTGGATTATATACTTTATTCTTTGTAGAAATTTCTTAAATCATCACAGAGTAACAGATCCAGACACTTCCTTTGTTGTTTTCTCGTAATTATTTTGCATTTTTAAATTTAATTTCCTGTAATTACGCGTTGAGAATGGAAGTCTTAACGTTAAAACATCTTAAATAATCTATAAAATCAAGAAGAAAATATATATATATATATAGCTTGAGTAAGATTGAAGATCTCGTGTTATACTAAATGTTTTCTATACACGAGCTTAACATTTGGCATTTCTTCAAATTCTACATATTTGATTTTATTTAGTTACGATTTATTTATAGGGATGTACAAAACTATATCAGTAATTTTTCGAATTTTATGTTCATCAGAAAAAAAATCCATACATAAAGTTTTTAATGCGTGTTTTTTCAATATTTGCTAAAGAATATTAGTTAAAATAAAATTTAATTTCACCTCAAATGGTATTAATACAAATTATAGTTTATGGAAAAGATTATCGAGATTATTTTCCACTCGTTTGTTTACATAAACTACAGTTTTATAAGAGTTTTAATTAAATAAACCCTTTGCTAAAACTTCTGTTTTAATTACTGGTGTGAATTATAAAGAGTTTTGTACATTTATGCAGGAAAATAATAATTTAAATCAGTTATTAGTCGTCTTGTATGAAGTTTAATATCCTATTGAAAATAAATATTTTTCAATCTAGAATTATATTTTAAAAATAGAAATGTTTATGTTTATCTCCATTTTAGTTTTGTACACGCTTTTAAGTTGGAATTTATATATTTTAAAAATAAAAGTCTCTATTGCATCACAAGTCAGCATAAAAAAACTCAGTAGATTCTCTCAGCATTGAGTTTTTTTTTAATTGAACAGCATAAAAAAATCTGTTAACGCCGCAAAAAATATATTACATATTATTTTCTGGTTAAAATTGTTTTAATATTATTTAAATGAAAGCTAATTTTACAAAAAAAGGGTTTACTTAATTCTCATTAATCTACTCGATATAAATTGTTTAAATATTTTAAATTTTAACATAAATGATCTTTATTTTGTCCTGATTTCTTTACTTAAATTTAAGTTAACTAATGCGATATTAATTATCTTTCAACGTAGCTTATTGATAAAAATGGTAAAATAAAAACTTGTAACTGTTAACGAGTTAATTCTATGTATTAAAGTAATTTGATAATATTTTATTATCACTAACTCTGCAATCGTTTCTCTCAGTAGAGTACTTGAGTAAACTTTCAACGTTATGCTGTTTAATTAGTCGTCCAGCAATCAGTTATCAGAATTGTGTGTATATATTTTCCTATATATTTATATGGAACGGTAAGATTAAATTTAAGATTAGAATCATACGAGAACCGAGTAATATTTACATTCATTTTCGTCGTGAATATAAAATTGTATCTAGCAGGATTTCTGTAGACATAACATCTTTTATATCAATGACATTTGCAAATTCAAGTTATAAATTTATATCATTCAGGCATAAACTAGTAAAATTACTCAATCTCTTACTTTAATACTTTACCAAATACTTGTAAATCGTGTGCTGAAAGTCTGTCCATTAATTACAAACATGTAATTGTTTTCTAGATTAAATTTATATTTTGAAAAATGATATTTTAGATGAACGATGAAGTTAAAAGACATAAAGATCTGGAAATTTAATGAATCATTGTGAAGAATTTCCGAAAGTAAAATTATTAAACGACAAATAATCCTGATAAAATAAGTTTTATAATTATTAATTAAACATATTTTTAAAGAAAATATTCGTGTATTTATATTTTAAACGACGAATTTTCATTAAGGATTTTCGAATAAAATCTTTCTTGAATTTTTTCATATTATATAAATTTTATTTTATGTATAAATTTCCTATCGTAAATGATATCTTAAGAATAATTTGAAAGAGTTCTTTCTAGGTTATTGAATTATTAATTCGTAATCAAATTTTGGATATTTGCCAAAGTGAAAGTAGCGTCAACACTACAGAACAAAAATAAAAGTTATTTTTTTCTTAAAAGATTCTAAGTTTAACTCTCGAAATAAATTCTTAAGCTGAAAAATAAATTATATGACATTAATATTCATATTAAACTAAGCCATAATGATTTCTTTAATTAATTATTTTAATTGGTTTTAAGGGAAAAAACTCGAATGCCAGGAATCTAGTTGATGTTGGCTTCTCCTAATAACAACTGTTACTGCAAAGAAGCAACCTTTACAGGCTGGAACGACAATTAGAAATATTCGATCGTCTACCGTTTAATTATATTATTTACTTTTAATTAATTAATATTTTATCGAGTTTTTTTAAACAATACGATTTAATGATCGTATTATATGTCAATTTTATATTATCGTTTTTAATTGTATGAATATTTTAAAGTAAAATAGCAACAGAGTATATAATCGATAAGTGAATCATTTACAGATTTTAAATCATTTAACAATTCTAAAATATAACAAAATTTTTAATAAAATATCTTAAAAATTTTGTAAATTGTCATTAGTTAAAAATTTATTATTTAAAATCACTTTCTAGTTATAAATAATGTCAAAATACGCTGTCACTTATCGGCTTCTGATTATGAAAACTTAAGGTTTTAAAATAAAATTAAATAGATCAATATTACTTTTAATTGTAAATTTAAATGTAATTGATATTAAAATAATTATTTTTAATTGTTATTGCTCTTAGAGGAGATGCAAAACGCGTTGATGAAAAGTTGGTGCTCTCCCTACGTTGAAATAGGGTGAACCTCTCGTTACTAGGAAACTGAGTCGGTCACAAAGATGCGCACGCATATGTGTAGTCACCATTTATTATTGCTGTCAGCTTAGTTCTGTCGTTTTGTAGCAGGCTGCAAGTATGTGAATTGGTGCTTCGTGATGTAGTAGTAGTGGAGCTTCTGATAACAAAGTAAACCCTTAATTGGTAGTCTAGACTCCTAAAATGTCGTTTATGATAAAGATCCCTTCAACTGTCTACAGTTAAGCCTAACGTGAGTCTATTATTTATCTTCAGTCTGTGTACAGTTAACGTGCTCAGTCAGTGTCTAGCATAGATGCCTTACCTAAACTTTAAAGATGTGCAAACCGTGCACACCGTTATGCATTCACGTAAAGTATGTTACTTATGCCTAAAATAAAAAGAACAAGATGAATAGAGCATGCGTGGGTAAGATCGAAAATCCTAACTTAACGGGTGTGGCCACAAGTAGAATTCAGGTTAGTAGGGCTGGGGTGTGAACCTTAACAGGTAATAAAGGTTGATGTTAATATTATTCCAATGATGAAGAAATTACCGTTGCCTAGTTCCTTGAGGCCGGTTAGAGATCCAGGGAAGATAGTGAAGTATACACCTTGCTCAAAGCAAGATCATCAACTGGACGATGACTTAGACGAAATAGCTGTAGTGAGTAACGCCGCACCTGAGAATGTCAAATATGGCACAGGTAACGTTACAGCTAACGGACCAAGGGTGGTTCCGGGTATTATCACTTCGGGTGGCGAGTTATCGAGACTTGTAGCAGAAAAGAGCACGAGTAACATTAGGATACACACGTCTTCTCCGCTATATTCGACTAAATCTTCTGAAGATCTAAAATCCAAAAGCGCCTCACGTCAATCCTTATTAGATTCTGTTAATAGTAAAGCAACCGATGGTGATTCTAAGCGAATTTCTAATGAATTGATGGCAGCTTACGTCAACAAAGCACACGTGAGTTCTGATTTAGAGATTTCTCGAAAGACTAGAGAATTGAGGAGAAAAGAAATAAAAAGAGAATTCGAAAAATGGGAAACTTCTACCTCCGGTAGTGAAAAGACTGGTTGTAATTGGTCGTTCGTCTTCGATCCTTCTGGAAGATTGTGTTATTATTGGTCTATGATTGTTAGTGTTGCTTTCCTTTACAATTTTTGGGTTATGATATATAGATTTGCATTTCAAGAAATAACTAAAGAAAGTTTAGTGGCTTGGTTTACGCTCGACTACTTAGCCGATCTTCTTTACATTTTGGATATTGGTTTTCATTTTAGGACCGGATATTTAGAAGAAGGTGTATTACAAACAGATTCTACCAAACTCAGACAACATTATATGAATTCTACTATGTTTTATATTGATTGTTTATGTTTACTCCCACTAGACGTTCTATACTTATCCATAGGATACTATTCAGTTTTAAGATGTTTCCGCTTAGTTAAGATCTACAGATTTTGGGCATTTCTAGATAGAACCGAAAGGCATACAAATTATCCCAACGTTTTCCGTTCTATATCATTAATTCACTATTTATTGGTTATTTTTCACTGGAATGCTTGCCTTTATCACATTATATCAACTAATGGCGGCTTCGGATCAAGAAACTGGTTTGATTTAAGAGACGAAAGGTGCGACGACGTCGTTTGTAAATATCTTCACGCTTTTTATTGGAGTACACTAGCACTTACTACAATTGGTGATCTACCGGCACCACGTACTAAAGGAGAATATTTATTTATTGTGTTACAACTAGTTTTTGGATTATTTCTATTCGCTGCAGTTCTTGGACACGTTGCAAATATCGTCACCAATGTTAGTGCCGCTAGAAAAGAGTTTCAAGGTAAGTCTCCCTTTATTTTTTCCATCATTATTATCTAGAAAATTGCCTTTAGTAATGGGAATTTCCAGTTATATTTGTTAGACTCGGGACTGCAGCTACAAGAGATTTCCAGTTAATGATTGCATCACTTATGAGGTCTTACAAAAAATAAATGAATCATTAATAAAATATTTAACGCTATTTAAATATTTTAAACTAATTAATTGTGTTTAAAAAATACAGATTTAATTTCATTAGATTTTTATGAATAAATTATAAGCTGCGAGGAAAATTCGTGATGTTAGTTAAACTTAAAATATTTAATGTTTTAATTTTTAAAAAAAAGGATCAATTATTCTATTTAATTGGGTGTACAGAATTTTTATTTGAGACTTTAATTAAGTTTTGGTTTATTAAACTAAATTTTAAAAAATCTTCAGTCTTTATTCATTAGAATTGATTTGAAACATAAGTTTTATTTATGTCATTATTATTTTTAAATTAATTTTAAAGTCTTTTTTTCGTATCATAAAATTATTTTAAAAATTAAATTAAAATAATTATCAAGAAAATAGTTTTAGCTTCAATCTATAATTAATTTAATGAATAAAATTAATAAAATATAATTTTAAAAAATTTATGAGAACTCGAAAAACTTCTTCTAAATCATAAAGAATCAACAGTAGATGAGTTTAATTAATTATTATGTAAATATATAACTTTTATAATTTTTAAATCGTTACAAAATAGTATAATAATTGATTTAAAGTAAAATTTTTTAGATATTTTATGTGGTTTTAATCATTTTTATTTTTAGAAAAATTTCGATTATATATACATACATACGTACAATAAATAAATTATTGATAATTATAGACGTAAATTAAAGTGGAAAATCAATAAGATTTTAGCTCTACGATAAAAGTTGTTATCATACCTCATCCTTCATTTTTGGCAGAAAACTTATAACAGTATGTGAAGCTTAATTAAACTCTGATATATACCATACCAAGATTGTTACGTACAAAATCGTTTATAAAAATCAAATATTTCCTTTATTTGATTATTACATTTAAAAATATATTTATTCATTCTTATATTATCAAATATAATAATAATTTTATAATATTTAAAAACTGTACTGTATATATAAGGAGCGTTATACGTGTACATCAAACAGGGAGATCAAAAATATGAGAAATTAAATCGATAATTTTTAATTTTTTAAAAATTTTTTACCTTTATTTGAGGTAAAATATTAAATACTTTGAACTGTATTAAAATCATTATAAGAAACTAATAATATAAAGTTTAATACATAAAAGAGCAATTTAAAGTATAATAATTTTATCGTTTTTTATTTTAATTTATTTTCGTTTATTTTCGTTACGTGAAGGAAAAAAATATTTAGAAAGTAATTTTAAATTTTTAAAATAGTCATTTATCACTTAAAATAAATTCTTTAACGTTAAAATTTGTTAATTTTTGTATGTAGGAGGGTATTATATTTTAAAATGGGCCTATACTTAATATAATTCTTATCTCATAAATATAAATGAATCTTTAAATAAATCTTTCTTCTCGTCTTTCACTAAGAAATGACATTTTGTTGACTTGCTTGACAGATATCATGGAAAAGAATTCAATTATTCGCTACTGAGCTACTCAAATATATATATAAAAAGAAGAAAAAGGATGATAAACTAGAGGAAAAGCATTCCAAATTCTTTAATTACTTACAGATGGATAGACATAAACAAACCAATGATGATCTGATTTAGTATCAATTTTATTCTTTATTGTTAAATTATATAAAAATTCCAGTTTAATTTATTCGACTGTCGGCTCATGAGAGATGAGGGATGTCGACAACAGATGCTAATGCAGTAGTTAAGCTATGTGAGGATGTATAAAAGATTTTTCTGTTAGCTAGTTGATCTATACCAAATTATGTACATAAATAAGAATTTATAAGGGTTTAGAGACTTTTAGAATCCGAAATAATGTGTATATATATAATCTATTTTATTATGCGGAAGCACTAAACTTGATAAGCTAGCCGTATCCACATATAAAGATAACCAAGATACATGTATCAAACGTGAAGTAGAGCTATCGAAAAATTAAAAAAAAATAGATTTAGTAGCGACATATTTTCCAGAATAAACGAGTTTTCTGCTCGAAAAAATACAGTATCACACCCAAATTCGATTTTACCGTAATTATATATGTGAAAGGGTGAATATAAACAGATCAATTGTCATATGCAATGCATAACAGAAACAAGTCATTGACCTTGTTCGTGATATAATACTGTACCATTATTTTGTAAAAAGAATCATTATCTTAAATGGTTATATGTTGCCTCTAACTGTAATAAAAAAAATACTAATTAAGTTCCGTAACCAATTTTTTTATAAGTAAATTAATTTGCATACGACCCCTTTTTGTTCACTAAAACTTGAAAATATATATTCGTATAAGACTTTTATATGATATCAACTGTATAAATGGATTATGTAATTAAAAAAAAAACATAATTAAATGCAGTTTATTAAAAAGTAAAGGGTTCATCGAACTTTTATACACTTGGCATGGGCACAATTGTTGATGTAAGTACGTTTAAAATATGTTAATTTTAAAATACTCTTCATATTTTAAGAGGGAAAAGTTTTTCTAACAGAATTAGAAATAGAAAACAAAAATATATACAGATTATTTTTACATTTAGGGCATAGAAATAGCAGTAATTCCATCGATTATTGACCATATTGACCAATTTTAGAGCATGCGTATAATAATCATATATCTCTGTCTCCAGTGGCATAATATCATTTTTCCTTTTCAAGATAGATCCATGATTCTTGGTGATACGAAAGAATGATTTTATACAAAAATATTTTCACTCTCTTATACAACAGAAAAAGTATTAAAAAAAATAGCGTAGTCTTTGAAACAGGAAGAGAAAATATATATATTGTAACATAAATTTTACTATCAGACTCCCTATAATCGCTTTAAAAAATGAATTTCTTTTAAGAAAAAGACTTAATAAAAAAAAAATTTTCTATCGATTTGAACTTTTGGCCTCTTAATCCTCTTACTTATGTAGCTATTTGATACTGAATAGATCTTTCATGACAATATTTTTCTTATCATATCTTCATTTTCTGGGCCAATAAACGGTATCTACAACAAAAAAGATAAAAATAATTTATTTTTTTCTAAGTTGGATTCTCATTTTCGAATATTTTTCATGTATATAACACGATATTCGCCGAGATAATGTTAAATATAAATACTTAAAACTATAAATGATCATCTGTAACTTCGTGACAATTGAAATTTGATAAGTTGTGTTTCTTTCTTATTCTTTTATTGATTTATCAGTTTACGTGTCAAATTTGATGAACGAGTGATGATCATACCAAATATCATTTCATCCAATGAAAAAAAAATTTATATAAANTAAAGTTAAATATAAATTAAAGCAAAGTATAAGGCAATTTATCTATAAAATTAACAACAAATCAGTATTTATTCAAAAATTTATTAATATTTTCTGTAATAATGATAATTTTATATAATTCTTTTAATCTTTTCACTTGGTGAACCAATCTGCAGATCTTGATTTGATGGAGTTGTTATTGGTCAGTCGTTCCTGAAGGATAAGGTTGCCGAGTGATTAATTTTTCCCAGGTTAAATTATTTTATCAAATTTTCTTAAGTACACATTCTTAAATTCTAATTGAGAATTTTCTTGTTAATGGAAAGTTAATTAAATATCCCGCAGTTAACTTTTGAGCTAGTTAACAGTGTAATTTATCAGGTTGAATTTCGTCGTTTAAAATAACCCCGCAGATTTATTTTGTGAAAGAAACTTGTTTACTACTTACTTAAAGCTTCAGCACTTGAAAAAATTTCTATTTCCTAAAAAAACATGGCGTACGATGGCCATATTCAGCCATATCAATTATCATTGGTTAGCTCTTCCAGTTAAGCAAACAGCTTGTAAACTACTTCAACTTATTTTAAGTTCTTCAATATTTTTCTCTTTCTCTTGCTCTTCTCTTTAATATTTTCAGCTCATAAATGCTTTCGAGTTTATCATATTAAAAATTTTTCAAAATTATTTTCATTCTACATTCGAGTTCCTGTCTTTGATTATTGATCTTAACGCATTTGATTGTTCTCCTTCGTCCTTCTTCACGTCAGCATATCGTCTTTGAATTATGTTTACTTAATATGATAGGCTTCATTTCTTGTCAGTTATTTTATATAACTTGCCAAGTTATCCTACAAACGATCGAAAGAAAAGCAAATAAGATACAAATTTCCGAGTGAATTATTTGAGAATTTCTTCTTCTTCTTCTTTATTAACTTTGCAACTCTTCTTATGAGAAATATAATCTTATAAATTCTTATTTTATAAATTAATTTATTAAAAAAATACGTCAAGAAACTAATGAAATCTTTTAACTAAGTTCAGGCGTGATGATAATTATCTCTGAATATAATAAAGAAATAAAATAGTTGTCGGAATTAAATTTTAATTTAATTACATTTCGGCAAAAAATCACCAAAGGATGATAATTACAGTTCGATTTTATATCTGGGTAATTTCTTTAAATTTAAAAAAATGGCTGCTTTAAAGTAATTTTTCATAAAAAAAAACATATACAATTCTTTGAAAACAAAGAAAAAGCTAGAATAATTTGAAGTCTTCCTCCTCTTTTTCTTCTAATATTCTTTTAGTTTTCTTCTAATGTTCCTCTTCTAATATTCTTCTTCTAATGCTCTCACTATATATATACACCAATATGGTAAGCGCCTCATACACTATGTAGTTTTTCTGTATATATTGATTTTCCCACATTCAATACAGGAGAATTCATGTCCAGTACAGCAAAATTTCTAAATAAATAAATATTTTTGATTCCTTTCCTGATATTTCACATTTATTTCAAATATTTTGAATCTTTTTCGAGCAAAATAAAACATCTAAAGTCCATTAATTTTTA